CGGTCTGGGACCCGGGCCCGAACTCCAGGGGACCCCGGCCCTCGGCTTCCTTGGCGGTGCCCTGGAGGGAGGCGTCCTCGTGGGGGTCCGCGCGTTCCCACACGCATCGGCGTGACGCCCCCCGCCCACCCCCCGTCCCGGTTCTCCCCTTCGAACAGCGGCACGTTCCCCACTCGGGGCCGGCAGAAAGCGTCGTTTCCCAGCTCTTTCTGCACCGCTTCCAGCCCCTCGACGAACACTGCATCCGAGCAAACAGATGCTGGGCTGCACTCCCGGGGGCCCGGCAGAAGGAGCCGGCTGCTGGGGCCGTGGCCCACCGCAGGCCTGCCTGCTCAGCTCCGTCGCCTGTCCAGCGTTTGGCTAATCTGAATTGCCGAAAAGAATTTGGTTGCCGCTGTCCCCGGTTAGCCTGGCCACTCTTGTGCATTCCAGGGAGGAGCCGGTTTTTAAAGTCTCATGGGGGGAGGGGGGTCAGTCCCCTCTCAAGAGGCTAACACAGCAGAACTAAATCTGATTGACTTACGTTTGCCTTTAAATATATAGTTCTGGCTAGAGCTGTAAGGCAGGGTTTCTGGAAGAGGGGATAAGGCAGGGTGTGCAAAATCTACTCTCGGTGTTCCCTCCTGGGGGAAACGATAAAGGATTCCACATTGTCCCTGGAACGGAGAGGTCCCTCCACCCATGTGTCAGACAGCACTGACCTCACTCCCTGCACCCGCCGCTGTGACTCAAGCTTGTTTTTCATCAGAAACTGGACTCTTCCTTGAGAACAAGAGGAAACATTCACTGAGAGCAGCACCAGCAAGCGTCCCACTCTTTCTCGCTCTGGGCCTGAGGATTTGTGTGACAGAGGAGAGAACTGAGCAGGGAAGGAAAAGGCAGGTCACACTACCAAAAACACAGATCTGGTTACCCAGGGTATGCTGGATCTGTATGATTTTCCTGCACTCCTCTTGGACTTTTAAAAAACGAATCCTTCCCATTTGGACAAACTGCCTTCTGGGATCGGGAAGGGGCAGTGAGTGAGGCCGGGGGAGCGGGACCATAAGGAAAAGGCTTTCTGAAAACCCCCAAGCAGATAAGGTTTGTGTGAACAGGGACTTTGGGGGCTTAGAATGAATCACATTCTCTCCACGTACGTTTTCTCCCTTCTGTTCATGATATTGCCAACTTTGCCTTTGAATGTGGCACAAAAAAACTGCTGGAAAACAGGGTGGCAGGGGATACTTCTGAAGTTCAAGCTCCTTGAGAGGGGATCTAGCAGTTGTCTATTTGTAGTTGTCTATTTTTTTTTTTTATCAGAGTTATAGAAACATCAGACTTTACAAAACCTATATCCACCCCTGGTCCTGAGAGATCATTTCACTTCTCCATTGTACCTGGGGGCCTTTTGTTTGTTTTTGCTGGGCATGGTGCTTTGGGAGACCATGGCGGGAGAATCACTTGAGGCCGAGAGTTCGAGACCAGCCTGGGCAACACAGCATAATCTCATCTCTACAAAAAAACCAAAAAAATTAGTGTGGCGACACGTGCCTGTAGTCCCAGCTACTTGGGAGTCTAAAGCAGTAGGATGGCGTGAGCCCAGGAGGTTGAGGCTGCAATGAGCTATGATCTCACTACTGCACTCCAGCTTGGGTGAGAGAGTGAGATCTTGTCTCTAAAAACAAACAGAACAAATCTGGGGGCCTTTTAAATGCTGTGCTTGCTTCATGACTTTCCTGCGACTTGAGAATTCTGTCTCAAGGGGGCTTCTGCAGGTTTTGGCATCATGTTTATATTGACATTCAGATGTCATCTCCAGAGGCAGAGGCTTTCCTCAAAAGTCTTAGTTGTCTGGTGACAGAGGCCGTACCATCGACCACTTGGAGTCTGGCTTGGGATCCTGGGGATCCTTCCTCAGAGATGTTCGCTACACTGGAGAAATTGGCAGCTAGTCTAGTGTCCGGAGGGGCGCAGGAATGAGCCGCCCCGAGGCTTCTCAGCAAGGGGCTCCCGAGAGGCATGTGTGGGAAATTTCTGACAGGGTGTGTAACTTTCGTGGCTGGTTAGTACCGGCCAGAGTGCTGGCTGGAGAGGATGCTTGATGAGTTTATTCTCAGATTCCGAGTGCTCACTTTGTTTTTGTTTGTTTGTTTTATTCAGAGTCTCACTTTGTCACCCAGGCTGGAGTGCAGTGGCATGCTCACAGCCACCACAGCCTCCACCTGCTAGGCTCAGGTGATCCTTCCACCTAAGTCTTCCAAGGCGTGCGCCTCCACACCTAGCTAAGTTTTTGATTTATTGTAGAGACGAGGTCTTGTCAAGTTGCCCAGGCTGGTCTTGAACTGCTGGGCTCGGGCAGTGCTCTCACCTCCGCCTCCCAAAGTGCTGGAATTATAGATGTGAGCCACCATGCCTGGCTTCCAGTTGCTTACTTTGAAAGCTGACCGACCGCAGAAGGCTCAGGTCAGGCTTGGGAGCGAGAGAAGCTGCTGGTGTGATGTGCAAGCACAGAACCGCGGGTGTGTGATGCCAGCACTTGCTGGAAACGCGCTTTTGTTGTCGATGAAATCGAGGCCTCCGGTGGGTCCAGGGGGGGAAGCTGTGGCCAGCTCTGGGCTTCTTAGGATGTGACAAGGTGACTCCAGAACAGCGAAACAAAGCCTTTGACTCAGTTGCCCTTTATAGCGTGGTTCACTGAGGCCAAGAGAGCCTCGAGGTCAGGTGGTTCATGACCAGTACCTGGGATTTCTGGGACACTTGACTGGGAAAGCAAGTTCAAGTCTTCAGACAACAGGGGGATGATGAAAGGCTGTGCAGTGGTGAACGGTGAGCAGGTTACAGGAACAGGAGGAGTGTCACTCACCCACCCCACAGGACAGACAGTGGCGTTTAGAAACCAGTTTGGTGTGCGAAGCTGTCAAAGCATTTCTGAAGAGTTCAGAGGCCTCCGAGAAGGCGTGACTTCTGGCAGGCTGGGCCGGTTCTAGGGGAGGTTGAGTGGCATCTACTTCTCAGGCCGCCTCTGTGACAGCCCTGGTGGGAGTGAGGGCGTCTGGAAGCTCTGACTCCTAGGTGACATTAGAAAGAACCCAGCTCGCACTGTTCGCTTTGAAGGTGTGGACAGTTCCACTGTTAGTTCCTGAAGGGTCAGCTTGGCCCCTTTTCTTTGGAAGGCTTTCCTAGTTACTTTCTCCGGCCCTACACAGGCGCCTTCCTTTCCAGAAGTCTTTGGCAGTGTCGCAGAGCTGTGGGCAAGTCAACCTGGAGAATATTAATTGACTTCGGCTGAGTTTAGTTCCAACTCGTGTCACAGTGGCAGCTGACCGTGCTGTTTTCACTGGGACCAAGGTCTTTCTTTTGAGAGTCTTCTAGAAAATACACATTTCTCCTGGCTCATTAGTCTGCCTCTGCATTTGGTGAGAACACGAATGCAGAGGTGAGGACAGTCATCAGGAAGGGGCGCACAGGTCTGCAGTGTGCCCTACGCCATGGGAAAACCTCAGCCTTTGTAAAGCAGAGGCCTACCTCCCTTCTTCTCTGCCTCGTACTCCCATAGAGGTTTGTACGGGAGACTGATAAGCTGTCTGGAACGCTAGCCCCTTGCAGCTCAGAGGGCATTAGAAGGATGGTTTTATCGCACACCAGGGCATCCAGGGTTGTGTTTTACTTCCTCCGGAGATAGCATCTCTGGCCTGAGGGCCTGGCTGGGCCTGGTGGGCAGAACGCACACATTCCGGTCATGCCTCCAGCGCTTCTGGAAGGGGCCTTTGTGCCCACGGTGGCGGTGAGGACATTCTAGCGCTGCCACCCCGAGAAGTGGCTCCTGCAAGCCGGGACGGCTCTCTGGCCTCATCGAGGACCGGACCCCCCGGGTCTGTGTTTGGAGTCTGATTGTTTATTCCTCGGCTGATGTGGCTGCCCTGTGCCGGTGTTCCTAGTTCCCTGGGTCTTGGACGGGCTTTCCGCATCACAGCCTGTGGCGTGGGAGAAATGGAGTTCACGGGTTGCCTGCGAGTTGTCTGCTGTCATCCTGTGGCTGGAATGGTGCCGGGGGCAGAGCCAGCCCTGTGGATCCTGCCCTGCCGGGCCGCCTGTGCTCCATGTCCATTGCCGTTCCTTGATGCCCACTGCGTGGTGGGCACTGCGCCCAGCCCTTCCTGGAACTCCGTCGTCAGGCTTCCTGGTATCGGCCTTCCCCGAAGGCGCTCCAGCCCACTCAGGCCTGCTCTGCCCCTGGTGCCCCACGGGCTCCAGCCAGGCCCCCGACGCAGTGCGCTGTGGGCACTGGACCATGGCCGCATGTCTGAGGCCAGGGGTGCCGATGGCCCCTCATGTTTGTTAGGGCTCACTGAGCATCGTTTGCTCCTGGTGCTCGTGGTGGTTGGTGCTAACCCTCTCGTATTTTCTCCCAGGCCGCGGCCTCCCCCCACTGGGCTGGAGCCCTCTGCCCTTGTCCGTGAAGCCCTGCTCACCATGTTTTATGGGACCCCCTTCGTCATGTCTCCGCCCAGCAAGAGCAAGCTGAAGCGGCAGAGCCAGCTGTTGTCCCGTGTGCTGTCCCGGACGCTGAGCTACAAGTACCGGGACCTAGACGCCACCTTCTCCAGCCTGGGCGCCAGTGATGACCCTGCCGAGCTCTCCACACAGCTGTCAGCGCCTGGCGTCCTGAAGGTGTTTGGGGACGGCGTCTGCACAGGCACCCACTACAAGAGCGTCCTGGCCACGGGGACCTCCAGTGCCCGTGAGCTGGTGAGGGAGGCGCTGGAGCGATATGCCCTGGACCCTGCGCATGCTGGCCACTACGTGCTCTGTGATGTGGTGGGCCAGACCGGGAGCCCCGGGCAGCGGTGGCAGGCCCAGTGCTTCCGGGTGTTTGGGGACAGCGAGAAGCCCCTCTTGATCCAGGAGCTATGGAAGCCCCGGGAAGGGCTGTCTCGGAGGTTTGAGCTGAGGAAGAGGTCGGATGTGGAGGAGCTGGCCGCCAAGGAGGTGGATACCATCACGGCAGGTGAGGAGGGTAGAAGGTTCCAGAAGAACCGTGGGTGTGAGCGCTGAGAGGCAGGTCAAAAAAGGAGAAGGAGCAGCGCAGGGCGTGCATTTGGGGACGTGCAGGGACCGGCTTGCTCTGTGGGAGGCAGTGGGAGCCTCTACGTGGGTGTTTGGGGGTTTCCTCTTGAAGTCATCGTTGTAACGTCAGTGGTCTTGGAAGCTGTAGTTTGCTTACGCTGCATGATGCCAGCTAGGGGTCTTTAGTGGCTTTCCACATATTCGTAAGTCTTTGGGGCCCAGTGTATCCTTCTGTCTCATTGGATTGTTGTCCAGCTCTTCAGTGGTCATCTCATTAGCCTCAGAGAACCGTGCACGCCTCAGGAAAGACAGGGTGACAGATGTACTGCGGCAAGCCTCCGAGACCCGAGACTGTGGGATTTTGGGGCAGTCAAGCGAAGGACAACGCGGGAAGCCTTCCCAGCCACGACCTACGCGGCACTGCCAGGGTGTGCTTGCTGTGTAGCGGGCCTGGGGGTGCCTGGGGCTCTTGGAGACCTTGAGGATGGCCCAGCTTGGGACACTGTCCTTCTGAGCAGGGCCAGGAGCAGGGCAGCTTTGGGTGTGTGTCCCAGGCTTGAGAGGCCTGCGACCTGGGGCCCACTGCTCTGTCTGGTTCTTATTCAGTTGGTGGAAAGAAGTTGATTCTCTTAACAGGCACGTGTCATAAAAACAATTTTACCAAATGCCAAAAGATCCTTCCACATATTTCCAATCATATTTGACTTTTTCTTAGTTTTCTGTAAACATGATTGCCTTCCACAAAAAAGTGGGTTTAGCCTGTGTTGCGTGGAGTGAGAGGTTTAGTGGCTGGATGAGTCCTGTGGTTGATTTTGCGATGCTCCAGGGTGGAAGGCTTGATCCTTGCTGGCGTTTCATATGTGTCTTGACCGTTCACTTCCTCTAGTTCTGCTTGTAGTGTGAGTCTGCCTTGTACTTGGCTCTCAGTTTGTGAAGCCAGGTGGTGGAGGGGTCTGCCTCACAGGCCGAGGTCTCTTGGGCCTGACCAGGGTTCTGTGTTGCACAGCTGTGGGAGTACCACCGCTAGTGTTATGCAGCAGTGGCCCTCTCTGTTACTTCAGGCAAACTACTTCACCCCTTTGGCCTCAGTTTCCTGATCTGGAGAATGGGGATAATAAGGGTCAATGAACTGTGTGAGGAGCACCTAGCATGGTGCTGGCTATGGCTTTCACTGAGTCGCAGCTGGGCAGCATTATTACTGTTATTAACGGTCAGCAATTTGTTCCTTGTGCACACAGGCAGTGGCACCAAGGGGTGGGGGTGGGCAGTGGGCATGTCCTGGCGGGAGAGTGGTTTATCACTGACATTGTTTAGGTTTGCTGGCATGTGGACATGATAAAAAGCAGACCAACTTGAGATTGCTTTTATTTTTGTCCTTAAAGTCTCCCAGACAGGCACCCCCTGGTTGCCTGCACACTGGGGTTCTTCCTCCCCACGAAGGCCGCTGCTTGCAGGGTCTGGTGTTCATCCTGACCCCGCTTTGTCATGGCCCAGTGATCCCCCTTGGAAGGACCAGTGATCCAGCAGAAGGGAAGTGGTGCCTCCCCCTGCAAGGCTCGGAAACCTGCTAGGGGGAAGAGATGGTGAGGGTGAGGGGACCCATATTCTGCTCCAGGACAGAGGGTCTTCTGTGAAGACCCAAAATTGTGGTCATCCTTCTGTGCGCTGCCATCTCCACCCTGCGGCTAGTAGAGAGCACGTGGGACAGGCCAGCGTGGGTCTGCTGTGTGGCCAGCGCCAGCCTTTCCTGTCTTGAGGGCCTGTGCTCTGTGTCACTCAGGTGAGGTGGAGTCCTCGGAAAGCCACCCTGCTCTCACAGAGGATGCTGGTGTAGGACGGCAGCGGCCAGGCTGTGTGTTGCAGGAGCAGGAGATAGTTTTACGCTCATCCACCCCTCTGGAGTTGTTCCTTCCCCATTAGTCAGGGCAAGAGGAAGTGCCACTGCTCCATCTGCCTAACGTGGTGGTGGTTTTTCAAAACCTGTGGAATAAAGAGTCCACTAAGCTGCCTAATTGTACCGGCACATTGTCTGGACGAGCGTGGGTTGTGTTACCTGCCCAGAGCAGGCCCCGGGGAACCGTCCTTCCTTGCTGACCTTTTCTCTGGGAGTGGCCCAGGCACCCCTGTGCCTCCTGCCGAGCTGAGGTCTGCAGAGAGTGGCTGGGTGATTTGAGATGGACTGGCTACCGCGGGTGTGTGCACATGCTCTTGTGTGCTATAAAATGTAGAGTGGGCCCCTCCATGGAGCCAGGCCTAGGCCAGACTCTGGAGAGAGCCAAGTGGATCAGCCAGGCCAGCCAAAGGTGACCCTGTACAGACCCTGCCCACAGTGGAGGACCAGCATCAGGGTGGGAGTCGACTTCCCATCCAGAACCTTTGTGTGAGAGTCTGTGTGATTCGCCTTTGTTTTAAAAATTTTTTTTAAAGTTTTTTTTTAATAGAGAAAGGTTCTTGCTGTGTTGCCTGGGTTGGTCTCAAACTCCCGACCTTAAGCAATCCTCCTACCTTGGCCTCTCAGAACACTGGGATTACAGGTGTGAGCCCCAACATCCAGCCTGTTTGGTTATTATGATGATATGTGGGTATGTGGACACAAAAATGTACACACACAGGCCGGGCGCTTATGGGGTCTCACGCCTATAATCCCAGCACTTTGGGAGGCTGAGGTAAGAGGATTGCCTGAGCCTACGGGTTCAAGACCAGCCTAGGCAACTTAGTGAGAGACCTCATCTCTATAATAAATGAAAAAATTAGCTAGGCGTGGTGGCACACGCAAGGCGCATGCTTGTAATTCCAGCTACTTGGAAGGCTGAGGCAGAAGGATCGCCTGAGACCAGCAGGTTGAGGCTGTGGTGGCTGTGAGCGTACAACTGTACTCCAGCCTGGCAACAGAGTGAGACTCCAACTCAAAAAATGTACACACACACATACACACAGGGTCTCACACTCTGAACCATGCCCCTGTGTGAAGAACTTGACTCTGGATTTGGAGGTACCTTTGTGGAAAGGCACATTCCTTTATCCTGCTTCTGAGATTTTCCTCAGACTGTCCTGGATGCGCCTTCCTAGGAGTGCATGTTGCTGAGCGTGGTGCGTCCCTGGTTCTCACCTCCAGTGGGACCGACCAAGAGGCAGAGATCGGGAGTCACTGCAAAGAGGTCTGAGAAGCCAAGAAGTTGTTCATTGTAATAGCACAGCTTTTGGTGACGGTCATCCTGAAGTTGGAGTGATGGGGAAGAATCTGGAGCTCTGCAGTCTTCCTCATGGGGGAGGCTCTTCCTGGCCTTCCTGACTCAGGCGGTGCCCTCCACCTCACGAGCCCCATGAAGGGAAGCTCCGTACCACCCAGGCTGCTGGGTGTCCTGACCTTCCTCGGATGCTGGTGTGCAGGGTGGGCGTGGGGCGTCTGCTGTGGTACCATCTCCTCCCGCAGCAGGTTTTGCAGCCTCACAGGGGGAAGCACCACTTCCCTCTGCTGGATCACTGGTCCTTCCAAGGGATCACTGGGTCATGACAAAGCAGGGTCAGGATGTACACCAGACCCCGTAAGCAGCGGCCTTAGTGGGGAGGAAGCACCCCGGCATGCAGGCAGTCAGGGGGTACCTTCTGAGATCGGCCCCCCAGCACAGGTCATGTGTCACTGTGAGTGGCATCTGCTGCAGTGAAATGAATCCTACCGAGGTGGGCACTGTAGTTTTCAGAAGGATGCAGGGTGGGAGGGTGGCATCTGCCCCGTCGGGCAGGCCCAGTGAGTGCCCTGCACATGCCAGGGCACCTTCAGACCTTATTTCTTTTCCCAAAGAACCAAAGGTGGGGTTGTCCCTATTCCCCAGTGAGAGAATAGGTAGACCTCCTCTGGAAAAAGTGGTGAAGAGGGGGAAGGAACCCTGGCCTATGCACGTGCGTGTATGTGCATGCATGCATGTACGTGTGTGTGTGCATGTGTGTATGTGTGCGTGTATGTGTGTACATGTGCATGTGTGTATGCATGTGCGTGTGTGAATGAATGTCGGTTTTCCTAGCCTCAGGTTTTTGAAGACAACAACACCGTTTTTCGTCATTCCTGTTATTGTTCCTATTATTGTAGAAAACTCACCCTGATTTGAGATTAGCTGGGCTGACAGGTTGCGCTAGTTTTAGAGGAAATGTGTAGCTAGGGCCAAGGGCTGGCATCTCTGGAGTTCTCTGATGCTTCCAGAACACAGCTAGGCCTTTCCCCTTCCCAGTGCCTGGGATTCCCCGGCAGAATCAAGTGGTAACAGTGAGTCGTCAAGAAACTTTCATGAGGGTGTGGAAGTAAGACCCACCCTGTCCATCATTCGTCAGCCCCGGTGCTGCGCACATTCGTAGTTATGCACTCGGGCACGGGCACTTTGGGGTTTTTTTCCATGCACATTGCCTTTTTGTAGCTGCAGTTTCCCTTGATGTCCAGATTGTCAGACTCCTGGGATCTGTTGTGGAAAAGGCTGGTGCTGCACTGTGACTGGGCTGGAAGTGGCTGTCACTCCCTGTTCCAGGAGGCTGGTATTTAGGGCCCATGCCATGCAGAGAGGGCCTGGGCCTGTCACTGAGATAAGACAACACTCACTTAAGCTCATGCTCACCAGGGAAGGGTGACGGCCAGGCCATGTGGTTTATGTCAGGGCTGTGGACAGGCCAGGGAAAAGGGTGGCCTGTGTTCATGGGAGGACTGAGCGTTGAATCGGCACAAGGGCCTAGAAAGGCTTGCTTCCCTCGTTTCCTTCTCCTCCTTCCTTTCTGACAGAAAAGTGCATTTAGGTTGAGTTTCTTGAGCGCAGTCTCATGACAGCCAGGGAGTCTGCTGTGGGGCGGGGGCGTCCTGTGGGAGGCAGCGTGTTGAGGAGGGTGATGTGCAGAGCTGCTGTCTGTGCCCCGGATGCGGCCTCCAGAGCCTGGGGGTGGGTGTGTTCCTGGGAGGCA